AACGTTGCCTTACGATTTGGCTCCAAGACAAAAGTAGCGTTCACGACGTCTCCCGGGTACGCGAGCATGCCTCCCGCTTTGCAATTTGTATATGCGATCTTGATCTTGATAGCAGAAGGGAATGGGTGGCGTATTCTGATGGCAGCTCCCAATCGGGAGCTGGAACCAAAGAACTTGAGACTTCGCAGATCAGATCTGGCGGCGGCGTGGGCGGATGTAACCCACGCGTTGAGGGGCTTCTACGAGTTGGCTGACATCCTCATTGTATTGGACGAGGTCCTCTTGCTAGAGATATCCAACTTCGCTAGGCAACTCAAGCTCAGTCCGATTATAGGGTAGGATCATCCAGTGGTGACTCACCTCACGGCAAGTCTGTGGTTTCGAAGTATGGAGTTGACCATCACAAGCTCCACCAGTAAATCTAGATGGCGGAACAACGAAAGGAAGAACGTGGCCGCAGCGGAGAAGCAGCTGGAGTCGATGGTGTATCGACTGACACAAGAGAGAGGCAGGTGGCCCTTCCTGACACCAAGGCTGGAGAACGCCACGGAGAAGACAAGAATAGGTTCCCCACCTCTGGTGAAGCAGATCTGGGATTTTCTTGAGGAAGATCCGAGGAACAGTGCCGAAAGAACAAAGGGACGACTTGAGTGAAATCTGGGGTAAAGAACTAGGCTTGGAGAGCGAAAATACAAGTGAACACGAGAGACAAAACGTGATCGGGAAAACCATGGTAGGTGCTCCAAACTTGGAAGAGATCGACGTGATACACGAGAAGATGATGGAACTTGAGCCTCTCCTAGAAGCCTCGGGAGAACGCAATCTTAGGAGCATCGACCTCACACACGGGGATTGTCCATGCCACTGTCTGGCGCAGACAGTGTGGTACCCAGACCACGCCAATCTCTGCCTGATCTGGGATGTGGAAGAAATCAGGTCGTTGTGACTACCCGAGCATCAACAAAAAGTGACCATCTTGGTGGTGAGCACAATGGTGGCTCTACGATGGATAGAAGAAAATATAGCAAAGTATCGGGAATCGAAGGCGCCAACAGCAGAGTCGATTCACGCGATAAATTACAGCAGGAGACTTGAATTGTTCGAGACCGCATGCAAGGTATTCGCCATACCAATGGAAGTCAGACACATGTCGAGCCGCTTGAGATTTTTTCCTTGGTTTCGCGCGACGTTAACGTCCTGGTTATACGTGGTGACGAAGGATCACATGAGGAAACATCAAAAGGAATATCGACAGTTCCAGGCCGAGATAGGACCAGATGCCTTCAAGAGACCTCTGCTGACCCATCGAAATGCGATCACGACGGGGTGGAAAAGAGTGGGTAGAGTATCCAGAAACAACACTAGAGCGAGGGATCACATGAGGAAACATCAAAAGGAATATCGACAGTTCCAGGCCGAGATAGGACCAGATGCCTTCAAGAGACCTCTGCTGACCCATCGAAATGCGATCACGACGGGGTGGAAAAGAGTGGGTAGAGTATCCAGAAACAACACTAGAGCGAGGGAGTCGATACTAGAAGAGGACCTGGCGAAAAATGTGAGCCTGAGTCTTCACAATTCCTTCTGTTTGAACCGGGAATCGAAGGTGAAGAGCTTACCGAATCAAGTGAAGAGATTGCAAGAGCAAAGGGAGTGGGTGCGATCCTATGAACAGCTGAAGGCTTGGGAGGAGATTGTGATCAGCTCCGATGACGAAGAGGCACTATTGAAACAGATCACAGTGTCAAATATATCTGGATCGGGTACCTCGAGGGCGAAGAACACGAGGTGAGCCGGTGGCTCAAAAGGAAATTCTAGAGTCTTGAGTCTTGAGAGGGAGGGGGCTCGAGGGTGAATTCGGATGAAATCAGGTTCACCAAAAAGAAATTTTAACAAATGAGATATTGTTATTAATATGCTATATCTATTATATAAATCAAAATGCTGCATGACAATTTCCTGATTGAATAGGACAAAAGAAATTTTAAATTACCAGCTTAAAAAGCGAGAATTCATAGGTGCAGGTGTGTGCAGATTTTGATTGCTGTTTAGCGATAGTGTGAAAATTTTATATGGTTGTGAATTTTGGAAGCTAGATAAACATAAGTCTGCTGCAAACTTCTGTAAATGACCACTGGCACTGTATCTTGAGTGACACTCGGGTTTCTGGGGATTCACTGACAGAGACAGCACGCGATAAGGACATCGATCTTGAGTCCGGGGAGTATGTGCCAGTCGGTCATATCTGGAAGTTTGACCTTAAAGGAATGCGAAAATATGTGATTTTGGAGTAAAGTTTTAATTTTCAAAATTTCGAATGGAGCCTGTCATGCTCAGTTTTCTCGCACCAACTGAAAAAGACAAAGTGAAAAATCAGAACGACCGAATTTGCAATTGCGGGAAAATACTTAAGAAAACAGCAGGAAATTGCTATTCGCAATTTCCAGATACAAAATAATACACGAGTAGAGCCGTCTTGTCCTGAAATAGGAAGAGAGATAATCACGAGAAGAGAGAATAACCATTCGAACCGAACCAGAGTGAACCTTCAACGGAAAGGTGGACAGCTTGAGTGTCCCAATGGTTCAGACAAAAACTCCAATTCTAGAGTCAAAACTTATTTCTGTTATCAAAACTGATTAGTATTGAACTTATCTAGTTATCTTATTTAATTCTCGAGTTGCTTATCAATTTAATTACTCCCTGTGCTTGAGTGCATCAACATGTGAGTGCCTAATTTAATTTTCTCGAGTGTGTTTTATGATTGTTATGTTGAGATAAGGCGAGTTTTAGGTTGATCCATCTGAAATGGATCAAAGTTCCACTGTCCAATAAAAAGTAACTTAACGGATTGTTCCGACCCTGTTTTTAACGGCGTTCGTGTATTTTGGGTATTTCGAGTCCTAAGTATGGGGACGTCCTTATTTTCTAGAGTGGGGGGAAATTTTGGTAGTAGCCTTTAAGCTGTAACGGGTTCTAGTCTCATGTCGCAAGCGAACCGAATTGGCTCCGACCGTTCTTGAGGTGGGAAAACACAAGAGATAGTTTCCCTTACTCTTGAGCCAGTGGTTATAGGGCCTATTTTTCTTAAGCCTCATATGTGACCGAAGTAGGCGACTGTTACAGTAGTTCGCGTTTTTTCTTTAACAAGTTTCGTTCCCTTTCTTGGTACTCTTTTTTTTCAGAATTTTGATAGAAAAATTGAATATTTGTTTCCCTTGATGTTTGGTTCGTAATTTTCCAACATGGTTGCACGCGCAAATAATCTAGCTGCCGTAATAACATTTCTAAACTTCAAAATTTGTCTGGGTCTTTTATTAGTTGCGTTAAATTTTCCGAGTCTGCGGAAAGAGGAAATTTCCTCGTTATTTGCACCTAGAAATTTCATTGTATCGCTTATCATTTTTTCATCGTGCTCAAAAATATTCAATTTATCAATTTTGCTGTCAGTACCCATGCTAATTTCCGCCATACCACTAAGTCGCAATTCTTGAGATATATCGGAACTAGATTTAACGACACTAGAATACTTAGCTTCCAGTTGGGGAGGAGAAGGATTGCACGTAGGCCGAGATTTTCAGCTCGCCCACATCAACAGTAGATTTTGGACGAATATCAGCACTTAGGCACCCATTGCACAGAAACTTTACATTTGCGGTCCTCTCCAGAAATTTGAAGATATCATGAGAGTAACCCACACACGAGCTATGCACTTTTCGCAGCCCTCGCACATCAGCCAGTTCTCACCCACTGACTCGGAACACATGGGTCAACACTCTTGACTATTAGAGGTCAATCTTGACCTCGTCGTAGCACCAGACATTTAATATGAAAAAGACTATTTAATAAGTCTTTTTCGAATGTTAAGATGTAACACGTCGCAAGTGAACCGAATTGGCTCCGACCGTATGAGGTAGAAAAACAAGAGATAGTGTCCCTGACTATTGAGCCAATGGTTATAGGGCCTTATTCTCTTAGCCTCATAAGTAGGCGACTGTTACACTTCAGTCTGAAGAGAAGGGGTGGAGGCTGGCATAGATTTCAAGATCTCGAAAAATTGTTCAGCTATTCCTTGCAACAGCTCGCCCAGATGATCCCTCTGCGCATGGATAATTCCAGTGTCAAGGCATCTGTTTAATAGAATTTCAATTTTGGTGACTTGTCGACAAACTTGGACATCTCGAAAGGGTACCATATACATGAGCTGTGATTTCACTTCTCACAACCCCCCAGACGTTTTAGAGCTCTCAATACAACTCTTTTGGTTTTTAGAAAAAGTAATTAATAAAAGGCCCTCCGTTTAGTTACGGTCGTGCACAAGCTGGATAGGGCAGGGCCCATACCAGCATTATATAAATACATCCGAAAACAATATTGCAGGAATTAAGTCAAGTCAGCATTTAATGCATTTTCATTAAAGGTAATTACTTCAACCTTCCCGCCTCTATAAGAGCACTAATTGAATTGTCTATGAATTGAGGCCTTGTCTATGAATTGATTTTTAGAGGCCTTACTTGACCTTCGACGATCAAGCATTTTATATGAAGAAGGTTATCCACTAAGTTGATGATTGTTATGCAATTCAATGAATGTTGTGACCCCAATTTAGATGTAATTCAATTTAAGATAAATTTTTGAAATTTTTTTCCGAGTCGTTAAACCTAAGTCAAGTTTCCTGTGCGTTCAGTTGTTTCATATGAAGCATTTCATATTAAGAAGGTCGTTAAACCTAAGTCAAGTTTCCTGTGCGTTCAGTTGTTTCATATCAAGCATTTCATATGAAGAAGGATATTCACTAAGTTGATGATTGTTATGAAATTCAATGAATGTTATGACCGCAATTTAGATTTAATTCAATTTACGATAAATTTTTGAAATTTTTTTGTCGAGTCGTTAAACTTAAGTCAAGTTTAGTTTCCTGTGCGTTCAGTTGTTTTTGACTATCAATTGGGTTTAAGTTCTTAATATAAGTTTTTGCAAAAACTCATTTTTCGAGGTTCGAATGTGGGCACGCCAAGTTATAGAAGACAGGTTGCAAAAAGCTCGTGATAATCTGGATGTTCTGGATAAAAATTTGAAGCGATTCAGTGGAAGAACAGCTTCTGAAAGGTAATTGAAAAGGTTGAATAGTTTAATTGTGGATTTTTTTATGTGTCTTTTTTTGAGATAAACTGGTCTGAATTTTTTCGTTTCTCGGACTAAATTACTCGATATTTGATAAAAGGCTGACTTCCCAGTTGTAACGTTAATTTAAACATATTTCGCTTTTAAACATATTTCGCTAATTTAAACCTTTTTCTGACATTTTCGTTCTAAATCATTATCCGTTTCTAGAAAAAAAGCATCAAAAGTAGATTTAAAGTTGCAAACATAAATTTCGTTATAATTTTTTTTGTCATTTTAAATTTTTTATTCAGTTTGGTAGAAGCATTCTGTGCTACTCTTGCACATCAATGGTCTATCCTTGTGTAATTATATATATATTTTTTTCAGTCCTAATTCAGCTGTAGCTAAACGCCGAGTTGGAACGCTTTCTAGTGCTGGGACATCGGTTAAATCCAGGTAAGTTGGCAGTCATTTTTTCATCACTGAAACCTTCGTTTTGCCTCTAAATTTAATCGACTGAGTTGGTTCTAAAAGACCTAGATACTTTTTTGATTTCTGTTTTTGTCTCTAGATTACACGGAGGCTTGCAACCGACCCAAAAATCCAGTGAAACTGAAAGGTATGCATATTTTTATACGATCATTAAAGGTTCGATATCATAGTTTTGTTCATATCAGTTTTCTAATACATAGCTATTGATTCAATTTTGTTTGACAAATTCATTAAAAAATTGCGTCATAGGCCGCAATTGGAAGATACTAAAGATGAGTATGCAAGTGAAGAAGATGGGGAAACGAACGGAACTGCGCCCTCTGTTGTGAGTAATGTTGGTCATTCCTAAAACAAAACTGAAACTGAATTATCTTAATCAAATTGATAGTTTGAATGAAAACAACTCTTAAAATGAGATCAAAGTTACTATTGCATTCTTTGTCAATTTTTATTTAGAAATCTAATGTCATGCTCGCTTCAAAGCCAGCGCTAGGTTTGGCTGCCTCCAAATCAGTGCCCGAGATATCAATGAAGGAGACTACGCAAAGGTACTTTCGTGGACCTTTAAATCATATCAGTTAAAAATTCAGCCAATTAGATTTCTGGTTTACTTTTTTGTTTCAGGGGCAAACGATTTTTCGGCATCTTGAACCAGCATCTTAATTCGTTCAAAGAAAAGGAAAACGAAAAAAAGGTATATTTTGATTTCTTATTAACCTAAAACCTTATAATCTATCGGCAGAAAATTTTTCGGACTTACAAATCATTGAAGTGAAGGGAAGGAACTATAGCGTAGGGCGTGCTTGTTGTCTTTCTGATTTCGACCACCTCAAAGAGAGCTCATAGGAGGCCAAGTGTAATAGGTCTTCACAGCTTTTTCAGACGTGATTTGGAATAAAAAAGTTGGGTCAGTGTCGAGAAAAGTATATATATTTAAGATTCGTTAAGTTCATTGAGAAAATTAGCGCACAGCTGTTGGCTAAATACTTGCTGTTTTATAGCCAAAGCTGGACAAAAGAGCTGAGATTGAAAAGAAAGTAGAGCGAGCTGAGAAAATGGAGAAAGCCGAGGCCGCAGTTGAGCGTCGCGAGATGTTCAGAGAGAGAATTTTACGCGAAGAAGAAATCGCTCAACTAAATGCCAAAATGGAACGTGCTCAATTGGTAGAAACAATTTTTTTTGTTTTTCCAATTTACCAAAAAAAAAACAAGTTGAATTGTGCTCTAATTGAATACATTTTAGCTTGAAGACTGGGAATCAGCTATGCAAAAAACAAAGGGAAACATTATGACCAATTCCAGGCCGCCGATATTTTACCGGCCGACGGCTTTTAATAGAAAATTAACAGAGATGCAGAAAAGAACGGAGCGATACATCGATGGTATGTTAGAGTTGTGCTCTTTTTTCCGTTGAAAACTTTGTCCTCAGATTTTAGCACGTGATATGTTTGTTGCATGCTGACAGGCTCAATTTCACGAAAATTAAAATTTAATTATCTCGCAAGCAGAGCATAGTGTTACACTGCGAATCTACTTTTTTTCTAACCCAATTCGAAATTATTAGTGCTACTGTTGGTAACCTGCAGTTTTGCAACAGGCAGCCTTGGCAATTTAATAGCATTTTTTCCCAATGAATTAAGACTGATGCTTTTTCAATTCATCATTTGAGCCGAAATAGCGATATGCTTCAAAACTGTATAAAAACAAGGATAGTCGGTTACTGCAAATAGCACAGAATGTTCCGACCATATTCTTAACAAAAATACACTATTTTTTTTTTCAAATTAGTGCCGTTTTTTCTGTGTGGTGTAATAAAAAGATCTAGACGAAAAAATATAAATTAGGCATATTTGACAGTCACAATTGAATAGGCTCATTACAAAACAGTTTTTGTAGAAAAAACCTTAAAAAACGAAACAGAAATAGTAAAACAATTGTTCTAAATTTTTTGCAGAATTTTTTCGAATTCCCATAAACCCCAAAAATTAACTTTGCTCGAGTGAAACTAAGTTTTCACGGCTTAAATTTAGCTTAAATGACCTTATTAGCTGGAAGTTAGACCAAACTTCAAAAATTTCAAACCGTTTTTTTTTCGGCACTGGAAAAATATTTTGGGAATTTTTTAATGTGGTTCGAATCACGACTGAAAGGGCTTGATTATGATACATCACTTAACCCAGTCCGATGATTGTTTGTGGTACCTGATTTTTCGTGGAAAAAAAACAGAAAAAAATAAAAATACAACCGAATACAAAGTTCTTCCACATTTTCAATGGTCGGAACAATTGCCCTTGCGTCAGCAAGGGTGATGTAACCGGGTATATCAGATAGCTTTGAGGCAAGGTTCTTGTCATTTTCTTTTAAAAATATTCTTTGAAAATAATGAATGTCTTTTTATGCGCTGAGAAAGTTCCAACTTTGAAGTTATTACATAATCTGAACTATTCAATTTTAAATATAGAAATTTCCACATTGATAACGCCAACGACATTACAGGGTACTAGACTTTTCTTCTGTAAATAGCTTTGTGCACTGAAAAAGTCAATTTAGTAGAAATTTTGTTTTTCGTTTCAGGAACTGATTATTGTTGCAAATTTGTATGTATATCTTGTTTTCGTCGGTTAGTTTTCAGTTTTTTAAAAAACTTTTTTAGTTTTTTAATAATCTGGCGCGGTCTTAGCGGCCTACTTTCGTAAATTTGTGAGGTTTTCTGGTTTTGATTTTTTTAAAGACAGTTGCATCTTATGTTCTATCAGTTTAGCTTACTGATATTCCTTAGTTTCGAGGGCAAAATATTTGTTTTTGTGTTCAAGTGCGGATGGGTCCTAAAAACTTTTCAAACTTTTTAGCTCAAAGTTTGTCACCGTAGTTGCCTCTCGGTTATTGATTTCTAATGCTTTTTAAGACAAGATAAAAACAAGAAAATTTTGTAAATTAATTTTTTTCCTCGTTTTTAAATTAATTTTTATAATTTATTTTAAAAAAATTCGGTCGCTTTTATTATTGAACCCTAACAAAGTAGATCTCCTTCACCTATAAGTAGAGGTATTGTATTTGCCTATGCACGGTAAGGTCTGGCGTTTGAGTCCCGGGCGGACCTTGTTTTTTCAGTATGAATGGAATTGAAAATTTTTTGCTTTTCGGCCTAATGTTTTTCTGTTATATTCTGTCGTCTTAGTTGTCCTATCACGAATTTTTTTGCTCTGTTTGAATTAAGCAGTTTACATTTCAGTTGCAAGTATTGTTGATCTACTTCTGTGATTCAGTTTGCCATATCTGACAATCTATATCTCACTTTTTATGTTTTTCTTTGTCTTAAAAGCTTTATTCGGCCTACATGGTGTCAATTTATGTTTTATTGGCATATTCTACATATTTTGTGTCTTTAGAGGGCGAAAATTGATTAAAAGTAGATGAACGTAGTAAAGAATCTTTTGTAGGTCTTGGTGATTTCGTAGGGTCGTGATGCTCTAAAAATTGCAGAAGCGCGTTCATAAACTTTTATGCATTTATGGCTGCACTTATATATGTTTTTTTTTTCTACTTCAGTTCAAATTCATCTGCTAAAATTGCATTTTTCAATTACGAAAGCGGTAATGGCACGTGACCGACTTCTAATTTCGAGAATGTGGTTTTTTACATTTCCCAGCGGAATAAAAACGTTACTTATTGGTCCAGTGTTCTCCAATTGAGCTAGTTTCATCAAAAAGTTTACTGTTCTTTAAGTTCAAAGAGCTTTAATGCCATCTCTTTTTTTCTTTGAAATTCGAAATTTGCCTTTTTTTTCTTCAAAAAATTAGTCAATATTTTTTGTTTCTCTGCGTTCATTGACTCTTTTGCAAATGTCTGATGTCTGTTGACTATGTTTTTTATTTCAAAAATAAATTTAGGTGAGAAGTTAACAGTTTTTTCTGCTTAATCGCTCAAAAATGTTTGTCTTGACAACAATTTCTTGTGGCGTTTTTTAGTTATTGGCTCAATGAGCGTCTACCCATGTTTTGTCGGCTAGTGGCCGCTCAATGAATACTAAACGCTTATTTAAATCTGGTAGTTGTGTTTTTCCACCATATTTCTGAAGCTGAGTTTTTCGTTTATTAATTTCAGTTTTTTAAGCTGTTTTTTTTTCGAATTAATTGTTTCCGTTTCATTTTCTGTTTAAGAGTTGATGAGATTAATGAAGACTCCATATAGGTCGTGATGTTTTTTTTAACTTGTTTTTTTGTAAGGTAAGTTCTTGAAAGTTTGTTGACGCTCATAGTTGGTATTTTGCCATTTGACTTCTCATTTTTAACTCTGTTCATTTCCTTATTTAAAAAGAGGCAAATTGTGCTTATCGTATAAACTTTACATTGAACACATTCTCGCACAATTGTAATTAAAGTGCGAGCGTTTTGAATTTGGTCACCGTAGTTTTGTGTTGTTCATTAATAGTGTGATTGTAAATGATACTTCGTTCATAATTTGTGCGATTCATTTAATTGACAAATGTCGAAAAAACTAGTGATATATAAAAAGCTCTGCTTCAGTTCTTTTTACAAGCTTTTAAGATTTTGGCATGCGAGAGGCTGTTATGACTAAGTTGTTTCCCATTTGCAGGCCTTATATGGGAGAGAGAAGAAGAGATGAAGCAAGAGCTTCATATTCTGCCGGGAGATGACTTGAAGCTGAATGGATCCGCAAAAGAGGCTGCAGCTGCATCTAGAGGTGCCTCTACTGCGGAAGGATCTTCAGACAGCAAAAAAGAGTCTAAGGTATCTTCAACAGGTAAGGTAAAAAGCAATAGCGACTTATCGGAAAAAAACACACCCGCATCACCTCATGTCTCTTCGGAGGCGACGCAGGTGTACCCAAAGTCAGAATCAGAGCCGGGGAGTAAAGGACCTCTGTCTAACGATATCGGAAATAAAGAGCCGGAAAAAAGCCTAGCTGAAGAGCTTGGTGCGCCAGGCGAGGATATTGAGAACCTCCTTGTAGAACCGGCAAGTTCGGATGTCCAGAAAAAAGATGTAGCAGCCACACCTGTTATTGCATCAGCGGTTGTGACTCAAGCTGAGTCAAATATTTCAGTTAAAAAGGCTGAAGAAGACGAGAAATCGAACGAAACAATGTCACCTAGTAAAAAGCAACGCAATTACAGGCAACGTAGCAAATCTCAATCAGCAGACAAAAGTAAAAAGAAGCGAGAAGACTCCAGTTCGAATAAGAACGAAATTTCCAAGCAAGAGTCGAAAAGTGAATTGAAAAAGGAATCGACGAAAAAAGAATTGAAGACCTCTGCTGAAAAACGTAAATCTGAAAAGAAGTCACCAGACAAGCATTCGCGTAGTGATCGAAAGAAGCGAAGTGATACACCAGAGAAGAAAAAAAGAAAGTCGGATTCTTCGAAAGATATTAAAGAAAAAGATAAAGAAAGTAGTCAGCGTGTTAGGTCCCCAGAGAAAAAGAAGCCCGTGAGGTCTAAGAAAGATGAAGCACCAAAAAAGGAAAATATTGCAGTTAAGAAGCCTAAAAGACCAGTTAGTTCCAGTAGCTCCGGATCATCAAGTCGGGAAGACAAAACCAGGAAAAGGGTTTCTCCGCCACCTAAAAAGAAGGAGCCTAGCTTGCCTTTAAAGGATGCTAAATTGGATGTTAAGAAAAAAGATAAAGTGGAAACAAAAACCTATGATTTAACTTTTGGATCTGAATTAAAGAAAGTAAAACAACTTGTAAAAGATTCGACAAAAAGCGAGCCGAATATCCTAATGCCGCCCAAACCAAAGGAATCCGCTGCAGAAACAATAATCGGGAGCCAAAAGACCGAGGCTAAAGAGCCTGAGCAAAAATCAATGGCTCCCCAAGCTTCAATTTTACCGGAAGTGAAGGTACCTGATCCGGATGAAGCAGCCAAAATTGTTCCGACCCATTCACCTTTGAAATCAACAAATATGTTCAAATCTATAAACCCTTCCCTTTTACCAGTAGATCATGAGAATCTTACTTTTAAAATAACATCTGCTTTTCAAGATGCTCCCATTCCTCCCATTTTGGCCCCTCCGCCCAAAGACCCGCCGCCCCCTCGGAATTCCAGTGCAGCGCAATCTGAAAAACCGACAGCATCTTTGATTACTAAAACAACCGAGGGTAATTTGAAACCGGCTACTGCCGATTTTTATCCTGTCAGTACTGAAATGGCGAAAGCAGTTACCACTGAATCGAATGTTATGTCAAATGTACAACCAGTACCGCCTAAAGTTGCACCCCCAAACAGTGCAGATCAAGACATAACTGTTATTTCTGCTACGAGTGCAAAACCCGCTCCGCCCGCTAAAAAGCGACGATCTCCCAGCAGTTCAAGTTCTTCAAGTGAAAGCGACGAAAGTTCTCCCGAAAGACGGGATCGCAAATCGAGACGCTCTCCTACGAGGCGTCGAAAAAGAGCGGAGGGTCATAAAAAACGCGGAAGCAGGAGCCGTAGAAGACGAAAAGCTTCCTCGCCCAGAAGAAAGTCGACTTCAAGACATCGTAGAAGACGACCTTCGAGAGATAGACGAAGGCGCCGTAGGAGTCCGGCTGGAGATCGCAGGAGACGAAAAGCTGCTTCTTCATCTTCCAGCGGATCCTCATCAAGTGGGAGTGAAAGTTCATCGGGAAGCGGATGACAAGGCTGAGTTGACCATACATTTTTGTTGTCCTTTTTCTTTCAGTTCTAGGTCAAGCCTGATTACGAAGGAGATTGATTACAAAAATAGATGAGTTTTTCAACCCCCGAGTCTGTTTGTTTAATGGTTTAACTTGAAAATGGTATTGTGCATTGTATTCAGAAAAACGCACCTGCTATAAAACTTTGTTCATTTTTTCTTCTTCCAATGAATGGATATACATTTTCATACTCTTCATATCGCGGTATTCCTTGAAACGAAAAAATTCTCAGCGTCAAGTGGTTTGTATTAAGTGACCATTTGGCATAAAAATCAAGAACGATAATGAAAACATAAATTAACTAGAAGACAAAACAAAATAACCTGAAACTAGTTGATGCTTTTTTACCGTAATTGTTTGAAGTATGCATATGTAGATATTTAACTATTCAAGTTCCGTGTTATAGCAAATGTTCATTTCGATATTTCAATTAATTTACAGTTAAGCGAAATTTTTTAAACAGCTTTTAATCAAAAGCAATGTAACTAATTTGGATCAATGTTTGAGCTCTTAGAGTAAAAAAAAACTTTTTCAGATAGATATCTATGAGTTGATATTGAATAAAAAAGCTTCATAAGAATGACGAAGGATTCGAAAAAATCGCTTTTGTGCACTGATTTTCCTCTTTATTCGGTACAATGTTTCGGTGGCCAGCACTTCATCGCTGCAGGAGGAGGAGGAGCTGCGAAAACAGGGATCCCGAATGCCATCGAAGCATTCGAAATAACCCATTTAGACAAGTACCGATGTGAATATGAAGGCCTGAATCGAACTTTAACAGACGACTTAGTGGCAGACAAGAACGAAGCCATTATGAACGGGGCAGTATCACAGTGGAAATTGAAAGAGCGATCTGTTTATTTTGCTGCTGGTATGAATAATCAATGTACCGTTTTCGAAGTTTACAAAGAACCGAACAAAACTGCAAAGTATGTTGGAGCGGTTGAAGTTTGCGATGCGAAGGCGGGATACCAGACTTCGGTTGGATGGGCTCACGACAATAGCTCTATCATAACTGCAGATAGCACTGGAGGTGTCTCAGTATGGAATTTTCCTAGTCTAGAGATGAAAGTTAGAATTGCCGCACATAAGTCGGAAGTAGAATGGATGGCAATTAATCCGATCAGTCATACAGTAAGTTCAATTGAGTTTATGGATATCAGTATTGGCGATATAATCTATCTAATAAGCTATTATATCGCCAATATTGATATCCATAAAATTTACATTTTTTCCGCTTCATAATGCACGATAAAGTTGAAAAGCTACCTTTTATGCGGACAGAGTTGAAAATTCAAGTAGAGTTGCTATCTGGTTCAAGTGAAATTTATTAAAGAATTGTTTGAAAAGTATTTTAAACAACTATATTGACTGTTTAGGCAGTGACTTGCGGGCGAGACGGAAGTATGCTTGAACTAAATCTAGACAAGGGAGAAATAGAAAATGATCTATTTTGGACATCAGAAGAAGTCCATATGAAGAGCTACCGTTGTCGAGCTTGTTGCTATGCATTTGTAAACCACGACCGATCGAAACTGAAGTTGTTTTCTGTACATATTCCAAAAGTTATGAAGAACAAACAGAAATCACATTTGTTCTTAGTGAAATGGGATTCGAGACTGCTGCCTGAACGAAAAGCACTCTTACCTCAAACAGATACGCCGTCTTGTCTAGCGACGAGCATAGATGGAAACTTCCTAGGAGTTGGTTCTTTAGAAGGACATGTTTCAATTTACATATCATTTTCCCTCAAATGCGTGAAGAGGGTCGAATTCGCGCACTCGTCATTTGTGACTGGGATAGTTTTTGCCCCAGTTACGTTTCCAGATACGTCGAATGGTAAACGGGAAATAATGCAGTCCAGACTATTTACCGATTTCGATGCTGTGTTGTTAAGTATTTCTATTGACAAACAAGTCAATTGTATAGCGTTGCCTCAAAGAACAACCTTGTCCGTTGGAGTCGCAATGCTTTTCTGCTTCGCAGTTGTTTTATTGGTCGGCGTAGGAATCGCTTTTGGAGCTGTTTTGAATCTATAGTTGTCATTGCTCTGCTCATTTCAAAATTTTGGGTGCATGTCTTCAGTGGTTCAAGTTTGGCTATTATATATCTAGATGCTTACGAATTGTATAAAATTGTATTATAGATAAAATATGCCTTTGTCATCCGTCAATCAAGTATGTCTTAAGAGAATTGGAATTAAATATAATTAATTTTCTTCTTGTAATGTCGCCACAATTAAACTAAGTGGCTTCGAGCGAGCGTCGAACTAAATTTTTATAGGTTTTTCTGAGTTTTCATTTTCAGATCTTGTCAACTGATTCAAAATGGTGTCGAATTTGCCTCCCCTTCCTCGAGTTCCCGAGTTCCTCCTGAAAAAGCGACGATTGACCGAGAAGAAACTCAAAGTAGTGAGGGAGACACGCCAGAAGCGAAAGGTTGCTTTGGAAGCTAGAAAGACCGCATACTTCAAACGAGCAGAGAAGTACGCCGCCGAGTACAAGAAACAATACACGGATAAGTTCCGACTGGCACGAGAGGCGAGGAACAACAGCAAATTCTATGTTCCCGCTGAGGCGAAACTTGCTTTTGTAATCCGAATCCGAGGTATCAATGGTGTCCATCCTAAGACAAAGAAGATCTTGCAGCTCTTGAGACTGAGGCAAATCAACAACGGAGTCTTTGTCAAGTTGAACAAGGCTTCTTTGAACATGCTGAGACTGGTGGAGCCTTACATTGCATGGGGATACCCGACTCTGAAGACGGTACGGGAGTTGATCTACAAGCGAGGACATGCTAAGATTTTTGGACAGAGGAAAGCACTGGTGAGCAATGAAATGATTGAAAGTGCTTTGGGAAAGCGAAACATTATCTGCATGGAGGACTTGGTCCACGAAATCTACACAGTGGGAAAGAATTTCAAGCAGGTTAATGGATTCCTGTGGCCTTTCAAGCTGAGCTGCCCCAAGGGAGGATTCGTGAAGAAGGGCAACCACTTCGTCGAGGGCGGAGATTTCGGAAACCGGGAAATATTCATCAATAAGCTTGTTAGCAAGATGAATTGATTTGTGAATGAAGTTTCATAATTCAGTTTTTCGATTCTGATTTTTTCACTTCTAAGGATAGACAGTCATTAGAGTTTTCAGGTGATTTCACAAAGCAGTGGCGTGGATATTTAGCAGCGATTCAAAAAAATAACGGCAATATTTTAACCCGTCACTTGCGGGAAATAAGCAATTATCATCAGAAACGCGCATATCTGCTGTCCGAACGTCTTCTTTCATCATTGTTAGCAAAAAAGAATAAATTTTCTGATCAGGTAGCAAAAATTTGGCTAACCTAAGCAGCGAGGTATTTTTAAAGTTTTGTTGATCCTGAGTAGAAACTAAACTCATTTAAAAAATCATTATCAAATGCGGCAAAATATTGACAGCGCAATGCAATATCCCAATTCTGGAATCACGTTGAAATAAGCTCAACGGACAGCTTTTCGAGCGAAATAAAAATTTGGTTACACAAAAGCAGTATTACTGATTATAGGAAAAAAAACGGACGAAATAGTTATCTAAGAGCCTGCGGCTTAGGTTTTTATCGTTCATGATAAGCACGACCATTAAAATAGTGGAAATTGTATCCCTGGAGCAAGGTAAGTGACTTTGAGTCTGAATATATTTCATAATCACAAATTGAAGCTTTATTACAAATACACAAAGTGTAAGTAAGGTAAAATCTATGAAGAGGTCTGAACGGCGTTGGTCTGCAGTGCGACTACGAAGTTCTTGGCACAGTTCTGACAGGTGGTTTTCTTGTCTACAAGAGAGAAGAGGGTATTGTCTATGACTGCGTCACACTTGGGTTGTTCACATCTGAAACAGTTCTGGTGGAAGAACTTCTTGTTGAAGGAGATGAAGGTGGAACGACCAGTGTCTGGATCTAAAATAAACTTTTGAAGTTATTAAATTTCAATACAACCAATGACATGATTGATCAATGAAACGCAAAACGTCATCTAATTGATCCAGCAAAACGTCTAAGCTAATAAATAGAACGAAAAATTTTTTTATATAGACATTTGTGAAAACAAAACCAACATAATACCAAAAAAAGAGCTTTGAGCTGGCAGGTTAGCGAAACTTGAACCACTGAACCAGAGCCTGAATTACCAGAATAAAAGCATATAAAGCTAAGTTTTTGTTTTCGTTCGGAATTGTTAAACTTGGTTAAAAATCTACATGAAAATTATGCAACTCTTGGTAAGTGTGGTGGTGCAAATTTCACAAGTTCGGGAAAAGCTGAAGAAAGAGCCCTGAAGGATCTTTTATGTGAAGTGATACATACATATGAAGATGAATTGTCAAAAAATGATTTAAATGAGAAATAATTGTTTAATATTGCAGATTTTATTGCAGTCTGTATTGAGTTGCAGACTAACAGATCTTATAACACAACAGATTGTATTATAATTAGTGGCAGTTTCAATCTCAGGCAATTTTTCTTCAAATGCCCAACATAATGCAGGCCGTACATCCTATGCAATTTTAAACTTGACAATTTTCTTTTAGAATCTATATCTTGACTGACAATCCCTTACATGGTACTTCTTGACCAATCCAAAGTTTTTGGGCTTCCCGGATTAATCTGAAGTTATAAGCATCACTGTTTCAGCGATGCGATTTTAAAAAACGGTACTGTTATAGTCATGTGGCATTTTCATGGAGAACTTTAGGTCTGATTCTCATTTAGAACTAATTTAGGAGTCGAATAGTTCTGATCATTATAAAATCGGGGAGAATTCAGGAACAATTTGCGCAAAAACAGGTGCCTTTCCAGGTTTTAACTCTGAACCAGACGCTCCCACTCTCCGTTAAAGCTTTAGAATCAATCAGTTTTAGTTTTTGCTCCCTGTCAAAGGTTAGCAGTTTAGATCTGGGGTATATTCAGGCAATAGTTGTGATACCAAGTGCATGTGGAGTAGAACATACTCAAGAGATAAACTACAGTGTGTTTTATATACAACTAATGTGTTTACACAAGCTAGCTTGTGTTATAGTATGAACTCTTTTTTTAAAACCTAAATAGCAAATATCGTTGCGACAAAATGTGTTCATTTTGAAAATATTTTGATTGGTGGTCAGTCAATAAGCAGAATGATCTAAGAGCAGAATGGGTCCAAGCGCAGAAAACAAAAAATTATTAACACTTAAAAACTAATCGGTGAATTAAGAATAGAAATGTCAATGTTACCTAAGATACGATTATTTTATGAATATTTTAAGAATACTAATTTAATTGAGGTTTTTTTAAAAAAAATTCAATTAAAAAACTTGATGAAATTAGTCAACTCATGCATAATTAAACCATTTAAAAAAATATAATATTGACAATTCTAATAGTTTTTTTTATCAATTAGCCCTTATCGATCAAAAAAGCATATATTTTTCTGTTTTTCTGCTCTTGGACGCATTCTGCGTAATGCTTCGCCTTCATTTTGATCAATTACCAGCTATTAAGTACAGCCAATGCTAAGGATAGATTCACAGTTTATTATATTACAAATAGCACTTTAGCTTCAAGGTATCATAGATCTGTAGCGTAGAGGTAGGGAAGGAGACCTGCATCAAAATAAGAGGGATCGAACCAGGGTAGGATCGGATGTTTTTAATGAACTTTTTCGTATACTAGCTAAAATGCGTCCGCTCTATAAATTGAGGCATGTTAGTTGGTAAATTTAGTTTTTTTTTCAAATTGACTGGTACTGATAATGCGTCACAATTGGCTTGCGTCACTTAGCAATTATGTAGACTCATAATTGGCGTGCGTCACTTGAGAAATTTTATAGACTCAAAGTTTTACACATTCATTTTTTTCCCAGTAGAGTTATCTGTAATATTTAGCCCGTGTATGGGAAGTGGAACTTCGCCTCTGTGTTTATCTGATTTACAATCAATCTTGAACAATGTAGCTCAAAAAAAAAAAGATTTTCCGGCGTTTTTTGCCAACAATTAAACGTAAAAGACTAGCGCTGTAACTCGATAAATGCCATCTGAGGAAAATTTTATCGAGGTTCTAATTTTGAAAAAATCTTACATGTGATTAATAGCAGGTGTTTTAATAACTTTTACAGCTCATCCGATGCTGTGTGGTATCTGATTTTAAGGTTTGTGCTAACAACGTAGAAAAGTTATGTCAGATCGCGCAGCAGCGGATGCAGATGATTGTTTGAGTAGAAATTATTTAGCCGAATCCCGTAGTCGCAGGAAAAAATTGTATTTTCGAAGTGTATTTTTCCTAATCGCTGATGTTTCTTCTTGTAAGCATTAGACTTTTGCGCTTTTCATTTGTTGATAATCTGCTACGATAACATTTTTCACGAATAAGGATACTTCAGAACTTTCAGGGTAATCTGTTTGTTAACCTATTTAAAAATTATGGTTAATCTTTTTTCCTATGTCTATAATATTTTCATCTGTATTTCTACAGCTGGTCGAGCATTCAACTTGTAAGTTCAACTTGCAAAAATTTCATTCGTTTTTAAGTTTTCCTTTGGTTCTAAATTCTTTAGTTCTAGTTTCTAAATCTATACTCTCTTTTTTCTATCAGAAAAAGTGGATGACAGATTTTTTTAAATCTTGGTGCGATGGAGAAATATTCTGCAGTTTATAAATTAATTTTCGCAATAGATGCCAGTTTCATCGCTTGTCTACTGAAGACTTTATTGCAGTGCTGACTAATATATTTTTTTTATTATTCTTTTTTTTTTCATGATTCCCATTTTTTTACTGTGTGCTTCGCCTCTTTATCTGCTTCGCCTCTGCTTGGGAAACATGAGTATGAGTGACAGTATGGTTATGCGTGGAAGAACAGTTGTTATATTTCACTATTTTAGCTGCTATGTATTCGCATGCTACCAGGCAGCTTGTAAGTGCGATCACAAAGTATGCGATTTTTTTTTGTTTCAACGCTTTATTTTCTTAAATGTTTATTTTCATTATTATGTACGTTTGTATTGCTCCATTTTGCCGCTTGTCACTTGTTTTTTTTCGCGGTCATTTATTATCTTCTTGCTAGACAGCAAAAAATGAAAATCTTTTGCTAGTATTGAGTTGTCGATGAACAATGCTGAAAACATCAGGCAGCAAACAAGTTAGCCGACTACATAAGTGATGTAAGATTAATTGAATATACCCAAATTAATAGCAGTGTTGCACTTGGAGCACTTCTTGGCAAAGTAGAAGTAGTAGCACTCCACGCAGTAGGGCATCCCATTGTTAGTTTGGAAGGTGCCTGTCAGTTTTTTACCACACGACTTTTCACTGCATTTGAAACACTGTGGATGGTAAGTGCGATCTTCAACCGACACGTGACACTCATTGATTGGCTAAAATCAAATAGAGATAATTTTTCTTAGTTCACCGGCGAAAAGCAAGCGTCATCAAATCGGAACATAAGGTTAACGACTTGCATGACAAAGCCACAGCAATCGGTGTATCTGGTCAAAAGCCATATTTTGAGCCGGGGCGGATTTAGGATTTTCTCGAGGGGGAGCGGGTGCGGATTTTCAAAATAATTTCGAAAATTTTGTCGACCTTTTTTGTAGGTCCACCAATTTGGTTTTCTGAGTTTTCCTAAATCATTGTAAAGACCCTGTTTTGACAGAGTTTTCTGCGCCACAGGCAGATTTTTGAAAAAACAGGCCAAAAAGGCGTTTTTAGGCACTTTTTGGAAAATTTTGATCGAAAAGTCGCGTTTTTTCGCGCTTGCTCCCCCCTCCCCAATACTATTATATATTTTGGCACCAAAGGCGCCTTTATAAACATTTTAGGGTCAGTCAGCCGAAAATGGATATCTCAAACTAGTACAAAGGGAGGACCCTTTGGGTCGGCAGGGGGTCGAATCACTGATGGGGGTGGCGACCGCCCCCCGCCGCCCCCTAAATCCGCTGGTGTTTTGATCATTCCTGCATTTTCGAAACCCGTGTTCTTGCGTTTGCGATTAGCAAGCGTTATCAAATCGGAACATAAACTTTTTTTGGGCTAACAACTAGTCCAACAAAATCAGTTGAATCAATTATGATGCTGACATTCTCATTTTCATGAAAATTCTAATTTAACTACCGCATGCTAGGGTACTACTACGTACTGCATGCTATATCTATAACTCAAACTTATGTATGTATGATTATAGATTTTGATATTTTTTTTTCGGTCTATGATTTTTCGGCGTCATGGTTGTCGACTTAAGCTCTGTCGGTTTAGTTTCCGAATTATATACTCTAGTACGACCTCATTGAAAAATTTTTAAAAAATTCAAACACCAAATGTTTTATAGAGTTTTTCATGTTTTTCCATTTCCTTTTTCAATTGAAATGTCGTTCGAAGTTCTGTTTGCTTACTATTTACCATCATGGTGCACTTATTCTCTAATTGCTGTATCGCAAGTTGTGCTAAGCTCAGCTTCGCCTCTTTGTTGAATGTTGAGTTTTGTTTTTGGAAAAATCAACTCTAAATTTTTATGATTTCCTGTTTTTTCGTTTTTTTCTTTTAAAAGTTTTACTAGGGTGAAAAGATTCGGTAATTTATATGACCGCCTTTTGGCTTCATAATGAGTCATTTTCAGTGCGATATAATTTTTTGTTCGAATGTGTGCTGAGGTTATGCATGTGCCTGTAGTTCCACGCTTGTTTGTTGGCTATTTAAGATTGAAGAGTATATGGAGTCTTTATTGTCTCTTTGGTTCCTAAGTCACTTTTGTTGCGATCTCCGTCGTGCTCATTGCTTTGTTCCAGAAAATTAAGTTTGTTTTTTTTGCTCTTTTCAGAGAAATAAGTTTTGTTGTTTTCGTGGATTCCTGATTCTTTCACTTCCCAGTATTTTTCTACTACATCAGTGAGAGTAGCGTCGTCTTGTTCGGTTGTGTCAATGAAGTTAGTTAACTGCGAAATTGACTCAGTTACATTACATTTCTGGTTAGGCGGGCCAGTCATTGTCCAACCTAGCAGAACTTTGACAGAGTAAGGGTTGTTTGTATCATATTTACTGATATAACACTCCGCAATATTCAAAAATGCAAATTGTCTAAAAAAAACTTGCATGTGTTGTCGCGTAGATCAGGAAACTTGAGATGTTTAAGGTAGTTATAGAGTGAGCACTTTATGTCAAGTTTTTATACGTCGACTGCGTCAAAACCCAGAAATTAAACTGAGTAGGCTGACTGAATGTATGTTTAGTAGCGTTGAGTGGTCCATTGCTTAGCTTGACTACAGATTAGGACATTTTGTCTTTACTGAAAGCGCCTAGTACGTTAATCGGTATTGGTTCATTTAGTTTACACCGATGTTCTCCAGCAGTTTTGCTAAGGTTGCGCGAGCAGCTACTGCAGTTGTCGAGTATGGCGTAGCAGTCCAGTGTGATGCCACTGTTGAAAAGTGTTACTGGCATAAATTGTAATTAGTTTTTGATGATTCTCAAGTTTTTGATTGGATCTTTAGTTTGTTTCATTGTCTTGATTACTGTAGTCCTAAGCTGAACGTTGTTGGAATTTTGATTTGATGTTTGAAAAGGCTTTTGTCGATGTGTAGAGTTGAGTCGTTTTCTCCTACGCAGTTGCTGATAGAGTATCGCTAGGCCGATATTCATTTGCTAATTCGGGGTAAGAGGCACAGCTTATGTTCGCTTGATTATCTTGCGCTTGATTATCTATTGAAGATATTTGGGAAGATATCTTTACACCAGAAGATATTTCGTATTTTTACCTGTACAGAGAAGTAAAATGAGCAGGCTGGTTGTCAGGTTGTTGTTGCTTTTTCTCCTCGGTTTTGTAGTCCAGCTTGGTTTGTATTCGATGATTTATGTCCAAGTTCTTGCATCCCCACAGTTAGTTTTTCAGGTACTGCGTAAACTCTTTAAGTTAAGCGAATTTGTGGCCGTGTGCCGCACGCACTGCTGTTCCCACTTCATAAATTAAGTTTTTGAGAGCTTCGGTCGAGCAAGCCGGGTTATGTTACTAGAACTCGAGTCAGCTGTATAGCCGGTAATTTCGAAGTTGTGAATCAGTTTCCGTAAAGCACAGCGGTTTTGATAAAACCTCGTGGGTCAGTTAGATCCAATTTCTAAATTTTTCGACTTCACTGATGAACGTTGAGACCTCATACTTTGGGCTACCGTATTTACGCTCTAGTTTGAATATTAACTTTTGGTAAAGAAGATTTCGTTTCGTAGCTCTCTATCAAGCATTTAGCTTTATAAGTACATTGTTAGTGCATGTAAGAAATTTTCACAACTGGGTTTACACTTGGGTGGTTGCCTTTTGCTGCCTGAACGATTTAGAACCTGTTGTTTTGCTCAGTGGAATTCCGTCCAATAACATCTGGTAACGTG